CACCAGAGACAGAGTGGGGAGCAGAACAGGCAGATCGACGAAGTACACTGCTGAGGGGAGCAGTGGGTGGGTCAGGAGAAGTCTGCCACACCATGTGGTCACCTCCGGGTCAGGCAGGAATCCAACTCATGCGGAAGTGGTTTCAGCTTCTTAGTGCAGTGCTTTAACCCGCTGCGCCACCAGGGAGGGCTGAGCTCTTTATATATTTTGAATAGTGACGTCTTACCAGCAATATGTTTTGCATTTGTTTTCTAAGAACTATACTGTCTTCATTAATGCAGCTTTGGAGTAAATGTTATGAAGCCTCCAATTCTTGTATTTCAAAATTGTTTTGACAAATTGGGGTTCCCTGAGTTTCCATATGAATTTTAGGATACAGATTGTCAATTTCTGCAAAGAAATGTCAGCTGGAATTTTGCTAGGGTTTATGAAGTTCTGTAGATCAAGTTGGTTTCTCCTATTTTTTTTCTCATAATTGCATAATAATTATATAATTGTTTACTTATTTGAGGAAAGATTATTGACAAGTAAAATGTTTCTCTTTTTTATTTCATTCAGTTGTCTTTTTTTTCCAATTCATCCTTTTTTATTGCAGTGTAATTGACGTAATGTGTCAAACAACTAAGGAATACAATGTGTTGATTTGATAAATTATATATTGAATTATTATTGCCATCTAGTGTTAGCTAACACCTCTATCATCTTAATCCTCTATTAAATATTTATGCATACAAAGAACATGAGGGTTTTTGGAAATGTTTAGTTGTTCTTATAAAATTTTTTCTTTAATTATGTACTTTTTAGGTATTTATAAAGTGCTTTTTCTATTCATAGTAATTCTTTGTTCAAAATAAGTACTTTATTTAACAGCAGCAGTGGTTTTCAGCCATGCAGTTTTGCTCCTCAGAGACATTTGGCATTTCTAGAGGCAGTTTTGACTGTCATAATTTTGGAGGGAGAGTTGTACTCCTGGTGTGTTTGAGAGCTATTTGATTTCTCTGAACAGTTCAAAACCTTTCTTCATGTTCCTCTAAGAATATGCCCTTTGTTCAACATATAGGTTTCTAATACTTTTTCTTGGTCTTTTGATTTATATGTGGCAGAAACACTGGACATTTTAATATGTATTGTATGTGGTGGAAATTTTCTGAGTTGATTTAATACATATTGTATGTGGTTGGAGTGCCTTATGAAGTTGCCAATGATTCTACTATTTTTCCATGTTTTGGTGGGCTTGGGGGTGCATTTTCCTCATTAAATTATCTTCATTTGTACTGATTTTATTTTATTTTAAAAAGATTTATTTTACTTATTTTTGTGTACAAGAACTGGGTGTAGACCAGAGATGCAGGAGGTGAGAGGATTCACCAGAGACAGAGTGGGAAGCAGAACAGGTAGATCACTGGAATATACTGTTAAGGGGAGCAGCAGGGGAGACAGGAGAGGTCTACCACACTATGTGGGTCAACTCCATAGCTGGGGAAAAGAACTCATGCAACAGCGGCCAGTGATAGCTTGATAGCACTGAAACTTTAACCTCTGTACCACCAAAAAGGCCCTTTCACTGATTTTTAAATAAAAACAAAGATTTCTTGTATTGTTTGATTCTAAAATCTTGGTAATCATACCATTTATATATATTTATATTTAATATATTTTTAATGTATTATAATATATTACTTTTAATATATTATATAGTATATATGTATAGCAAATAATCACAGTGTTCAATATATTACAGGTAATATATATATAATTATATATTTTGGAAAAATATTAAAGACATGTTTTAGTATCTGGCAGGATGGCAAGATTAGGTCCTCTTTATTAATCTTATCTGATACATTTTATGATGTTGAGTTTTCCTGTCTGAGAGCATGAGGTGCATATTTGTACATTTTGTAGGAATGTCGAAAGGTGTCTTTATATAGACCTTAGCTTATTTTTGTGTTCTTATGTTTTTGTTATATCTTAAACAGAGTTTTCTATTAAATTTTCTAACCAGTTGTGTATGAAAGCTTATTTTCTGTTTAGTAACTTGTATTTCGTCACCATTTCAAGTTTTTCTGTTTGTATAGGTTTTACAGTTGATTTTCTAATATATAACCATTATCCATGAAAAGTACTGTTTTTCTTTCCAAATAATAATAAACTAGAGGAAGACCAAATAACTATACTTCTGAATTCTTGCCTATTTGCATTTGCTAGAAATACACAGCAAAATTAGTAATGATGATAAAAGACATAGGTAGAAAACTTGTTATATCTTAGGACATTTGCTTCCTTATTTCTACTTTAAACTGGAGGCCTTCTTTTGGTGAATTGAGATAATCTTGTTACAATGGGAATAGTCATGTATCCCTTTAAAGATTTCTTTTATCAATACTGGATGTAAATTTGTCAAATGCCTTTTTTTTTTCAGTATTCATTGATAATAATATGATTTTTTTTTCCTCTGAAATTCCACTAGAGTGAATTATAAGTAGGTCTTCTGATCTTTAACCACCCTTGTTTGCTGATACAAGCCCCACCTTGTCAGAGTATTAATTTTTGATACTCAATGCTTTTTCCAACAGGTTTATCATGTACATTCTGATAGCTACGAGACAAAAAACCAGCACTATGGAAGAAGCTTAACGAAGGAAACTCTGAAGGATGGTAAGGATTTAAAAACCCTATTTCATACCTCTGTTATTGTAGTTAACAAAGTAATTTTAAAGTGGTTTTAGTTTTAACTCTTCTTTGGTGTAGTGTTTAATTTCACAATAAATATACTTTTTGAAAAAGTGAGCCTTAGATTCATAAGATTGATTAATTATAACCCTGATTCATGATGTACTAAAAAAAACCAAAAACATATTGTTCTATGAATTGCCTTCTTTTACATTTTATTCATATATATGTTTTCAAATAATGAACATTTGTGAACCAATCTTCTAGTCCAAGTAATGGAACTAGTGGTTGTCTTTAAAATTATAGTGTATTTATCATAGCATATTAAAATTGCTTATTATATGAGAAACTTTAAAATTATTTTACAGTATTTAATGTTTTTTTTTGAAACTTTCCATGTTTACCTGAGTGGCTTCTAGGTCTGTATAATAGATAAACTAGTGGCATTAAAAATAGGTTATATGAAATTGTCAACATACATGTTTCTGAAAGATTTATTTATTTTTCCAAGATATTACAAAAGCAGTGATATTCTGTATTTTCAGAATTAATAACCTATTAGAGGTTTATTCTAGCTTTACCTAAGATGAAGAGAAAAAATTCAGAGAATTTTTTTTGATATATAGAAAACAAACATACCCAGTGTGCTAAATATGCCTTGGCATATTTAACCAATAAGAAAATATTTTTCTCCTACTAAATTTTATGTGCCAAAGAAGGGGAAGAAGCTATTTACTTATTTAAGATTTATTTATGCATACAGAACTGGGGTACAGCTCAAAAGTGTAGGGGCAATGAGAGGATTCACCAGAGACAAAGTGGGGAACAGAACAGGTGGATCGACGAAGTACACTGCTGAGGGGAGCAACGGGTGCATCAGGAGAGGTCTGCTGTGCCATGTGGATCACTTCTGGGGTGGGGATTGAACTCGTGCTGAAGTGGCTTTAGCTTCTTAGTGCTGCTGTGCTTTAACCCATTGTGCCATCAGGGAGGGCCAGGAAGAAGCTATTTAAAGGCAGAAATCAAATGATATATACCTTAATTTCCCAAATATCATAAAATAGGCATAAATAATTTAAAAAGAGGCCTAATAATCTGATAAGCTAAAATATTTAAAAGTCTGAATTTTGAATAACATAGTCAAACAGATTTAGTGTCATCCCAAAAGTGAACTGAACTTTTGTGAAAAGACTGAGTTAATATTATTTTGAATAAAGAAATGAGTACAGGTAGGGTTTAGTATTTTGACAATGGCCGTTAACACCATTTCAAGTGGAATGGATATCAAGTGGATATAATATAACAGAGGTTTTAGATTAACTCTTGGATGTGATTTTAACAACCTTATTATGAAACCCCTCACATTAACAAATCTTGGGAATTATTCCTTTTTTAATATATTTTCAATTTTTTAAAAATCATCCTTCATTTTGTGCATTTTTTCATCTCAGTTATAATCCCTATGAGCTTCCCACCACCAGTTCAGTTCACCTGTGTGTTATCACCACAGTCCAGTGCTCTGTTCCCACCCTAGTTCTAATCCCATTCCCCCTTCAACTCCCATAAAATGTCTCTGGTTTATAGATGTTCATTGTTTTCATTTTTACTCTATTACATTTGTTTGTCTCTCTCTTTTTTTTCCTTTCCCTTGATCCCTTATGCTCCTGCTGTGAATTAAACCATCAGTATTTTACTTTTTCTTTCTGGCTTATTTCACTAAGCATGAGCCTTCTAGTTCCATCCATGTTGCTGCAAAAGGCATGAGTTTCTGTTTTTTTGATTGCTGAGTAATATTCCATTATATATATATATACACCATATCTTTTTATTCTGTCTTCTATTTTTGGGCATTTGAGTTGATTCCATATCTTCATTGTAAATAGAGAAGCAGTAAACATGGGGGTGCTGGTGTCCTTTTGAATCAATGCTTTTGTGTCCTTTGGGTATATACCTAGGATTGGGATTGCTGGGTCATATCGAAGCTCTATTTTTAGCCTTTGGAGAAACCTCCAAACAGTTTTTCATAGTGGTTGTATCAGCTTGCACTCCCACCAGCAGTGTAGGAGACTTCCTTTTTCTCCACATCTTCACCAACAATTGTTGCTAGTTGTTTTAATATGTGCCATTCTCACTGATGTGAGATGGTATCTCATTGTTGCTTTAATTTGCATTTCCCTTATTACAAGTGATGTTGAACATTTTTTCATAAGCCTACTGGCCATTTGCATTTCTTCTTTGGAGAAGTGTCTTTGTAGCTCTTCTGCCCATTATTTGATGGGGTTGTTTATTTTTGCTGGATTTTATCAGCTCTTTGTGTACCTTTATGGTCAGTCCTTTTCCATTAGTATTGTGTGCAAATATTTTCTCCTAATCAGTGGGGTGTCTCTTTGTTTTGTGTAGTGTCTTGGTGTACTGAAGCTCTTTAACTTGATGTAGTCCCAGCTGTTTGTTCTTTCTTTCACAATCATTGCTTTGGGTGATGTATCTTTAAAGATATTATTGAGTTGTGTGTCATGCAGAGTTTCGCCTACTTTTTCTTCTAGATATATATTTTTAAAGATTTATTTATTTGTACATACAGAACTGGGGTACAGGCCAGAGGCTCAGGGGTGGCTAGAGGCTTCACCAGAGACAGAGTGAGGAGCAGAACAGGCAGATGGACGAAGTACACTGCTGAGGGGAGCAGCTGGCGGGTCAGTAGAGGTCTGCCGCTCCATGTGGTCACCTCGGGGCAGGCAGGAATCAAACTCATGCAGAAGTGGCTTTAGCTTCTTAGTGCTGTGCTTTAACCCGCTGCGCCACCAGGGAGGGCCATTCTTCTAGATATTTTATGATTTCATGTCTTATGTCTAGTTCTTTAATTCATTTTGAGTTAGTTTTTGTGCATGGTGCAAGGTAGTAGTCTAGCTTCATTTTTTGCACGTAGCAGTCCAGTTTTCCCAGCACCATTTGCCAAACAAACTTTTTTTGTTCCATTGCATATTCTTTGTTCCTTTGTCAAAAATTAGCTGTCCATAAACCTGTGGGTTTATATCTGGGTTTTCTATTCAAATCCATTGGTCTAAATGTCTGGTCTTGTATTGGTACCATGCAGTTTTGATTTTTTGGCTTTGTAGTAAAGCTTGATTGTGATGGGGAATTATTTCTTAAGACAAAATACTTATATGTAAGTATTACTTACATGTTTTCATTAAGATTGTCTTCACCGGAAATTAAGTTAGGACCCGTATTTCTTTGTCTGGCTGTTGATTCTTACCTGTAAGTTAAAGGATGATGAGAAAAAGAAGCAATGTTTCTATTCTATGATTAGTTTACTTCTCATGTGATAGCTAGTTTGTAATTTTATTATATTCTAATGTTTTCTTTTTTATAGGAGTCTCCAGGTTTTTTCATAATGGATTTTGCTTAAGAAAAGATGCTGTTGCTGCCAGTATTCAGAAAATTGAGAATATTCTGCAGTGGTTTGAAAACCAGAAGCAGCTTAACTTTTATGCAAGTTCATTACTGTTTGTTTATGAAGGTTCATCTCAGCCAACTACTACTACAAAATCAAATGATAGAACTTTGGCAGAAAAGTTTTTGTCCAAAGGACAACTCTCAGACACAGACGTACTGGAGTACAATAATAACTTTCGTGTGTTAAGTTCCACAGCGAATGGAAAAATAGAGGCTTCAGTAAGCAAAAGCTTGTCCAAGATGTATGCTCGTCACACAAAAATGTACTCAAAAAAGCATCACAGTCAGACTTCATTGAAAGTTGAAAATATAGAGCAAGACAATGGGTGGAAAAGCATGTCACAGGAACATTTAAATGGAAATGTACTTTCACAACTGGAAAAAGTTTTCTACCACCTTCCCACTGGTTGCCAAGAAATTGCAGAAGTAGAAGTACGAATGATAGATTTTGCTCATGTGTTCCCTAGTAACACAACAGATGAGGGGTATGTTTATGGGCTGAAGCATTTAATTACTGTACTGCAAAGTATTTTAGACAACTGAATCCATTGCTGCAGTCTTTGTAAGGGATAGGGTAATTACATATAATGAAGAGCAGCAGTTAACATCTCTGCCCTTGTAATGCTATGTAAAAAATTTGTATTGTGAGTCTACATTTTATTTTTCTTTATACTTTTGGTAGAAGGGTTAACTTTTTTATAATCTTACTCAGGAAAACTAATTATTTGTTCATTAGAAAACTATGAAGATAAAGAAACTTAGGAATGTTAAGCAGGGAATGTGGTACATGGCTTAAACATCTATTTGGGTCAAGCAGAATGCCTACCATTATTTAGTCATTGACAGTTTAGTTAGCTTTCTCTAGCCAGTTTATCATGAAATCTCTACCCAGCCTTGACAATGAGCCATATCTAAACTCATTGCATTATTAGAATATTTTCAAAAAAAATAGAAAACATGAGTTGACATCCTTAGGTACTGCTCACATAAAGTTATTAAAACTGGAGAAAATTCTGCTTATGAAATAAGTACTGTTTAGGCTTTATATTAAAAGTTCAGACCAGCATATCAAAAGGTGCTTCTTTGAAAATGATCAAAATTGGAAATAATCAAAAGTATTATATTCCAAAAGCAGTTTTTCCCTTTAATTTCCATTTATTACATATTTCAAAATAAACTTCATGAAAAAGATAATTGAAATGAGTAACAACAACAAAAGTCTTGAAATTTAAGGCACTATTTTTATTTTATTTTATTTTTTTGCCAGGGTTAGAAGAGAAGTTATTTGCAAGGAACAAAATGTTTTCTTTTAAATTTTTCATTTATGGGTAAATTGGAGCATGTAGATACATTATGAAGAGTATTATAAACCATGCAACTCCTTTTTCTCTAACTCTAAGTTTAAAAAGCTGGATGATAGAACTTTGTCTTATTGCTTCTGTAACTTTGAGTTTTTTCTTTTAAATTCATACATTTATATATTCCCATTTAGTTCTGCAGTTAGAATAAACATATGTTGCTAAATATACTGTTAGAATTCCAATAAATAGTGAAGGACAACATTCAATATTATATTATAAAAAATGCAGATAGTACATCCTATTTGTATTTGTATTTGATGCATATCTAAAACCATACTTTTGTTTCACTCTTAAAGCAGTTTTTCTGATAGTCAAGGGAAAAATTTTAATTTCAGAGGGAAGAGCAATAATGTTTGCTGGAAAAATGAGATTTATACTATTAACCAATGTTTTATATCCTCTACTTTAAAAAACTGAGTAGATTAAAATTTTGAAATTAAAACTGCAAATATGTAAGTGCTTAATGTTTCCATTTCTCACACTTTGATTCACAAAACAATATATCTAAGTAGTTAACAGTTTTGTCTTATTTCTGGAAAAATGTTTTTGAGTTGTGAATTATAAGAGTTTTCCTCTTAGAACTACAAATAAAACTTTTAGCACCTTTTTTGGTGTGGAGGAAATACCACAATTTTATGTTTATCTTGCCTTTCCAATCCTCTGAGGGCACTTAGCAAATACCTGAGGACAAACAACAGTACCAAATGCTCTTTTTGATTTCTATACTTAGTAAATATATTAAACCTGAATAACTTAAAGTTCATATACAGTTTGGTAATGAAAAAATATGATTGTTTTTAATTTTTATCAGTTTTAGTATTTTCCCTAGGGACTTATATTTTTCTCAACTGCCTAAACGGGTTATTGGCTATAGCTTTTTTTGTGTGTGGGAATTAATTTCAATTCACAATTAGTAATCAATCTTTTAATTTTACTTTTTTCTCCTGTAGACTTTTGTTGTTGTTTGGAAAGTGGTTCAATAAATCTTAAGCTCATATAATTAAACACTATTTTGAGTCTTAACAAAAGGCTTTTTTTGTGTGTATGGGATGGTAATAGCCTATGTACATTAAATTTAATAAAGTATTATCAGATTTTTTGCACATTTTAGCTCAGTAAAGTCTGAATCAGCTGTTGCAGATTTTCTTTATCCATATTTGGAAACATAGTTTTGTACAATCAGTGTCTTAACCTTTTGATACAATAGATCATGTTTTGTTTTAATAAAACAAAAAGCGCTGTTATCTTTTGCTCTTCAGGGAAGGGATTAACATTTAATTGTTCGTTTACATTTTTTATTATTGTTATCCAATGCCCATTTTATGTTACTTTATAAGTATGCTCACAGAATATGTTTATATAATCTACATGTGACTGTTTTCCTATCTAGCCCAGTCATTTAACATCCAGAAATTTACCACTGTGGAGATGATCACTATTCACCAAGCATATTTAAACATGTAAATGTTTAAGTACTAAACATAGTAAGGATATAGTTTGGTTAAAAGGATTGTCACTATCATGCCCCTCTCCTGTAGGGAACATAAGTAATGATTTTAGTGTATCTCTAACAGAATACACTCATAAAAAAGACTAAGAAATTGTGGATAGTGAATAATACATTTCTCAATAAGTACTTAAATTGTATAATAGTTTTATAATAAAGTATTTACATTAATTGATATTTTAATATGGATGGAAGTTGCATAGATTCAAATAAATTAAAAATCGATGATAAATGCTTAATATTTTATCTAAAATAGTTTTTCAAGAAACAATTGTGACAGTGTATATTAAATGGCTCTAATATGGAGCTTGTGGTATTTTCAACTCAGTGTTCATCATTTGTTTTATGTGTCTGGAAAGATTGTACTTCTGTGTCTCTTTACACTACAGTTTGCTGATGTGAGACTTTAGATTGTGCTCATCTGAGTAAGAACTTTTTCCCTGAATTTTCACTGAGTATATTATTTTATGATTTCCAAGATAATGTTCTACATATCATCTCCATATTAAATTTAAAAACAAGGGTTTAATTTTCAGAGCTACTTTAGTTGCTGTTATATTGTTTACACAACATGAAAACAGTTTCTAGAATTTGGAATATTCCAGAAGATATAGATGAAAGAAAATAATAAAGTAATGAAAACAAAATTCGTGAAATTATAGAAGTTTTGTCCACTTTTTAAACCATTGTCATCATTTTAGTACTCTTTTCTCTTAGCAGTTAGTCATTTGATACTTTAAAGCTTGATTTGCTTTAAAAATTGTTTACAGTGCTTTGTAATAATCTTCCTTATCCAGTGCCTTTAACCTTCTTGATTTGATATATTTGTAGTTTAAGTTATCCTTTTATATCCTATGATGTCTTCATAACCTAGACATCAGTTTCTTTTTAAAAAATTGTCAATTTTGTCATTTGAAGAGGTAGTGGTGGCCTGTTGATGCTTTAGTAAAACAAGTAGAGTTGCCTTTGGAGGCCAAGCTTCCCGCATTATTCAGAAATACTGGATACCTACCTTGTGTCAAGCATTTTTAACCCCTGAATATTCAACTATGAACCAATCAGACAAAGTCATTTCCTGTATTCTATCTATATAGGTTGAGTTGAAGGCATAATTAAATCCTTTAATTATAACTAGAGATGTAGAGAAAAATGCATTTAAAGATATGTAATATAAAGTTTAGTATTTGAGTTTGTGTAAAAATAATTATTGAATTGTGAGGAAGCCACTAACAATATGTTAGGTTAAAAACAATTATTCGCAGAATTATAACCTCTATTTGCCTTTGAGTTTGGTAGTAATTACAGATAGCATTAATAGGCCATAATTTTACACTTTTCTTGCTGGTAAAGGTACGTTGATTTAGACTGCACATTTAGAGTAGTGTTTTAACATTACTCTGAAAACATCCCATTAGATATTCACATTAAAATTAACTGCACATATAAAAAATTCTATTTGGCAATTTAGTACAATTATTTTAGGCCTCAAGCTTATATTTAAATCACCGGTATTTTAAATTTGGCGATGAACATGCAATTTCTGACTGTCAGTGATTATATTGTTACTTTACATGCCCTCTTGAAATTTTGGGAAGGTTGGCAACTCCTTTTTTTTTGAGTTGAATTGTTTTTTTGATAGTAAAATGAAATAGCATTCATATTATAAACAAATTAGAATATATTTTCTCAAATTTCTTTTGGTGATTAAACTTTGTCATCATTTAGGTTAAATTTCGGCCTGGTGTTTACTTACAATATAAATTAACAAGTTTAATTATGAAGTGAAATTGTCTTTAAGTATGATGTATCATGCACCTGCATATAAATGAAACGGTGTGCACACAGACACTTTACTATGGGAGCTGTACTGGAAGATTTATGAAAGCATGTGAAATTGCACCTAAAATTGTGTTATTAGTGACTATGCTAAATTTATTGTACTTGATGAATGAATGTATTTAGTCTAGTTAAAGTTACTTTGGTTTAAATGTCTAAATAATGTTTCTTTTTTAAAAAAAATGTGTTGTAATTTGTACTATTCATGGGGGGTATTCTTGGACTGCAGGGGTTATTGTCAAAGTGTGATTTGTGTTTTATTTTATAGAATTACCTAATGTGATATACCAATTTTTATAAGTGATATTTAGATAATTCTAATAACTGTATATTTGACAACCTATTAAAATGTTTTGCATTGGAGCTGTTTTCATTAATTGTAATGTGTTAACATCATGATAGTCAAAAATATTAACATTCATTCCACACATACTTGAGCACCTGTTAATGTACAGAAACTACAGGAATCATGGATTCAGATATGATTGACACAAGATGTTAATAGAAGTATATGCATTGGAAAAGAAAATTTATGCATACAGAACTGGGGTAGAGGCCAAAGGTACAGGGACATTGAAAGGATTTGCCAGAGACAGAGTGGGAAGCGGAATAGACATTGAGGAAGCACACTACTTAGGGGAGATTTTTTTTGTAAAGAAGTTTCTGATTCAGCAGGCCTTGATGGAGTCTGATGCTCCTAATGCATGTACCAAACTTTGAATAGCAAGATATACAAAAAAAATTTGGGGACAGAGGAGCATGGAGGGTGCAATAGGACTTGGATCACTTTGATCCAAGCAACCAGAAACAGCTACTAGAGCTGTTTGGAAGTAAAATTGGTAACAAAAAGGGTGTTTAGAATGTGAGGCAATATAAACTAATGGCTCAAGCTACTGTCTTCTCAGTTGGAAGAAAAATGCGTCATCTAGCCTGGCCTCTCCCCTTAAGTTCTTAAGAATCCTGTAGTAATTGGCTTGTCTTTGTATCTGTGCCGTTGGTCTTCAGTGTGTGTAAGTGATAACTACTTTGCCTTCTGACGAAAGCATTTTGAATGTTTGTTGATCTTG